ACAATAGCTTGTCTTCATTCCTGCACAGTTATTCAACCTTAGAAAAACTTTTATATCCATTCATATATCTGATTGCTTCATTTTTTCCAGATAGTTTATTGGTTTGATGAAAAACCCTTGGTAACATTTCATAAACATAAAAACCATGTAGACAATTCACTTCATTTCTCCTGACTGAATAGACTATTAATTTAATTCATCTATGTGTTTGTTGTTCACAAAGTTTCAAGTTCACTTAAATTATAACTCGATTTCAGTAATGTAGTAAAATTCACTAAAATATTATTCACAAACTAAAAGCGGTTTAACGTGACTTAAAGAATATTTTAACCATAGACATTTAGAAATTGATAGATATCATTCCCTTTGCTCTTAATGAACATAAATAATTGGTGTATTTAACTCACAATATTTCCAAACGAATCTAAAATGATGTGATCATTCAATTCATAATCAACATACCGAATCTTTATTAATGTTTGCATGATTGAAGACTAGGTTTCATTGATAGTTTGTAGAAAGAATAGAACAAAGTGATGTTTTCTAAGATCATACTGTTTATGATATGATAACCAGATAGTAACTCCATTAGGGTGATGTATTAACGTATTACTAACTAATCGTTTACGAAGTTTAACCATGTTTCACCTGTTGCTAAAGAACAATGTCTGTCTAGTAGTCTTATCGTTGATTTGAGTTAATTTAAGCATTTATGACAATAATTTAGTTTTCTGACAAACAATCATACACTCAGATTATTTCACTATGTATCGTTTTTTGAACAAAATTGAATTCATTTATTTAATTAATTCTAAGATGGCTCCTACATTCATCTAATCACAATCCATAATACAATAATCAAATGTGGACGGTGATTTTAAAACTATCCGTAGTAAGACTATAATTTATGGATGACCTTTGAGCGACGCAAAAATGACCTTGAGAGTGTCCACTTAGTGACCAGGACCAAATGAAGGTTATAAACCTGTGTGAGAAATTAGAATTATGATTTATAGTTGATGATTAAGATAAAGAATTCGATTTAGGGTTTTCATCATGAACTGACATCAACTATAATACCAAGACTCTGTCTAGCCAAATGCGTGGATGAATTTCGCGCCAAAATCTAAGACCTGTTATTTTATACATGATTTGTTCGTCCATAAATTATAGTCTTGCTCTATCCGTTATATCTACAATTTGTTATTGATAAACAACTTTAATAGTTTATTTAACAATACACTTTTCTGATACACGCTTTAAAAGCAATAATTCACCAAGTATTGAACTTATAACCTACTATTTGAACGGTCAGCGCATTAACCAGTATTCCGCTTCTATAAGATGCTTGAAATTGATCACCACCGTAGTCTCATGCTTGTTTTCGGTCTTTAGTTAGATGTATCGGAAGCTTCAACAGATAAATTAACAATAAGATATACAAGCCACAAACTAATTTACGTAAGATAGGATTATTTGTTTGAATTTACTTCAGGATAAGAATGCAGCCTGTGTTCAATTACTTTAAATTAATAACAAAATCGGTTACACGAAGCATTCAATCTAAGTATAAAGCTAATCGTAGTTTATTAAGTGTGATGTTGAATGCTTTTAGTTCATTAGTAGTAAACATAAATATACATATAGTTCTACATAAGGTTTGTTAGATCCAGGTGACAGAATTTAATGTGTATGATGTAGAATTGATTTATATAAAGTTAATTTTATAATTTTGCTGACGAATATCAGAAAGGCGTCGACTGACGGAGGTCTGATAAACTAAAAAAACGAACACATTCTATTTTATCATGGTTTAGTATTATGATGCTGAATAATAAAGTTGAATACCTTTGGGTGACAGATATTGAACAGGATTACGCACCAACTAGTTCATAAGATATTTTCATTTAAGAGTATGGATAACAGTCTTATCATAACATTTAATATACTTTGTCATACAATGTAAGGCTAATAAAATCCTACCAGTTGACTTTCAATGATTGCGAAATTTAATTTAGTTGTTGTTTATTGGATAACTGACGTAACATAAGTGGGAAATTTCATTATTGTTCACTGGCAACATGCATGACTATGACAATGAATATTTATGGTAGTTAGAGCTTTGATGTTAATAAGATGATGGTAGTCGACAAGAAACCCTGAACTGAAATTACATGCTTATCACCGTGATACACTCAGATCTATGAAAGAAATGATGATCCCAGTGAAATTTAAACTCATGTCACCAAGTTTGAGAGTACGAGACGTCACTACTGTGTACTGTCTTTTTATATTAGATGATTTTTGAGAATTACGTAATATTTATTACATCAATTTCCGATGCTATTTCCACCTTGTAATAAGATGAAAAATTGTTTTGTATACAAATTTATTTACTGAATTAAAGATAGTAGTTAAAATTAGTGGTAAAAACAATCTCAAGTTAAATGTGTTAAAGTATACGGTGGAAATTTGGTAACTTTCATAATTAATACCTTTAAAGGATTATTGACAAGTAGGTTTAAACTAAAAATAAAGATTATTTGACAAAAACTATGTCGAGCCGCCAGAAATCTTCAGAAACCTCCTAATCTATTAGTTTTAATTATAACTTAATATTATGACAATGGTGGTTGGTGGATCAATTTCGTGGACTGGTTGATGTTAGACATTAACTCAATTGGATACACGCCCAGTGGTCTAGAGGTTAAACATTGGCGCGCAAAACTGACGGGTCTTGGGTTCGAAACCCGCGAAGCGGGATCATTCGTATGCACTGCTGAGAAGTCCCATACTAGGACTAGTGCTTCCAGGTTTTCCATGGTTGTCCATCTTCAATTAACTCATGAATTCAACTATTCAATTTGTATAATATCCACAAAACCCTTCTCTAAATATTGATATTATTACACAATTATTACATGAGATTGAATAACAACATAGTTTGTTCTCGCAAACAACCAATTTATCAGCTAATTGTAAAGTATAAAATGATGATGATGACGACGACGACGGTGATGATTCAATTTTCTATCAGAATACATAAAATCTAGAATATAAATATATAACAATAATAATACATGTAAATGGAATATGCTATAATTAATGACTAATAAGAGAATCTGTTATTGTTTGAATACCAAAAATATAAAGATATTTTAATGGACAATAAGAAATTAAAAAACTTATTTCAATACTACACTGAGTTCATATAATGATATATAGATTTGTTTTATGGTGTTTATCAGTATGGGGATATGTAAAGATTGTAGTACTTTTAAGGATTAAATTCACGAGTCGATCTAAGCTAGACCAGAATTGAAAGCCTGTAAGCACTGAATGGCCGTTTCGTCCTAGTATGGGACATTATTACCGTTGAATGCTGGTTCAGTGATCTAGAGTTTAAGCTTTCGCGCGCAAAATCGAAGTCCCTGGGTTCAAGTCCTGAGTGTGGAATCATAGATCCTTACTGCTTAGAAGTCCCGAAATGAGACGGAACGGCCCTTCACTGCTTCCAGATTTTCAATAGTGGTCTAGCATACATTGATAGTGAAAATAATGTTACTTAGATAATGGGTATCATGATGAATATTCATTAGGTTCACAATATAATGAAATTAGGCTGATAAAAATAATTAATTATTTAATGTCGAACTTCAAGATAATATTTCTGCAGTTCTATTGAGAAGTTGAAATTAATGAAGCTTCACAAATTAACATGTTATATTACTTACTTACTTACGCCTTTTACTCCCAATGGAATATAGGCTGCCGACCAGCATTCTCCAACACAACACAGCCCTGAACCTTCCTTTCTAGCTCTATCCAATTCTTATTCAGTCTTCTCATGTCTGTCTCCATTTCTCGGCGTAATGCGTTCTTTGGTCTCCCTCTCCTCCTTTGGACTTGAAGATTCCATGTGAGAGCTTGTCTTGTGACGCATTTGGATGCTTTCCTCAATGTGTGTCCTATCCACTTCCAGCGCTTCTTCTTGATTTATTCCTCCACTGGGATCTGGTTTGTCCTCTCCCACACTAGGTTGCTGCTGATAGTGTCTGACCAATAGATCCGACGTATTTTGCGTAGACAGCTGGTAATAAAAACCTGTATCTTCTGGATGATGGCTTTCGTAGTTCTCCAAATTTCCGCCCCATACAGTAGAACTGTCTTGACATTTGTGTTGAAAATTCTGACCGTGATGTTGGTTGACAGTTGTTTTGAGTTCCAGATGTCCTTCAGTTGTAGGTATACTGCTCCTGCTTTGCCCAGATATGTAAAGGTTTTTACATCTTACAAAGCTTCCCCATCAAGTGTGATTTGATTGGTGCATGATGTGTTGTATCGGAGAATCTTGCTTTTCTCTTTGTGTATGTTGAAACCTACTGCTGCTGAGGCTGCTGAATTTGTTGTTGCGTGTGCGATAAAAGAGCCAGGTCATCTGCGTAGTGTAAATCGTCCAGCTGCATCCTAGCTGTCCACTGTATCCCATGCTTCCCTCCAGATTTTGACGTCTTTACATTCCAGTCGATCACAGGGGAAAGAGAAAGGGTGAGAGTAAACAACCTTGTCTGACACCGATCTTTACTTCGAACGAGTGTGTAAACTTTCATCCACTCACTATTTTGCAGTTTAATCCATCATAAGAATTCCGTATGATATTGACTATCTTTTCAGGCACCCTGAAGTGTCGAAGAAGCTTCCATAGTTACATGTTATATAGTTAATACAATAACCTAAAAATTGTTTTTCTTATAATGCTTGTAAATTAAGGTAATATCGAGGCATACGCACAGTATGCACATATGCCAATAGGAGTCTGATCAATTTCAGTCCTAAAAACATCAATGGGAAGATTCAAGTAGAACAATATCAATTGTTTTTCTTTGTTGAAATTATACAAATATTCAATGTTCAAATCGTTCAATATATATATAGTAAATTTCCTAATGTTTAAATGAGCATTTTACATTATTTTTTATTGTCTGATTATTTCTATTTAGAAGAACGTAAATTATTTGTTGGTATGTTAAGTAAACAACAAAATGAAGATGATGTCAGATTATTATTTGAACCATTTGGTACAATTGAAGAGTGTACAATACTTCGAGATCAAAGTGGAAATAGTAAAGGTAAATTATTCATGATGATCCATTACAAATTAATTGCTAAGTTGAATTCTTTCAAAGTATTATTGTTTTTTTTTGTATAGCTGAAGAGATTTTGTGTTGATTGGGTTTTTAATTTGCAAATTGTATTCGTCACATGTTGATCTCATTTGAGATGCCATCAGAAACCATAGAGTCCTAGATGTGTATTTTGTTGTACATGAAATTGTACCACTAGATATCAGCACAATGGTTTTATTTGATTGAGAGATAATATGGTGAGGTCATGGGTGCCCGTTCCTTCAGGTGGCATAATAAGCTGAAATAACTACCCAGCGCTCTTTGGTTTCTAAGAATACCTCAAATCAGAACAATTTGTAATTGATGCAAACTACAAACGTGATAATAATATTGTTTATTAGTTAACACGATTCCACCATCATGAAAAGTTGAATCGAATTATTCAAAGTGAGTTTTCATTATGGGAAATCTTACGTTAAAATCTTTGCTGTACAGTAAGTGGGAACTACCAAAAAGCCCTAAACTAAAACGAAACAATTATCTACCACTCTTAGTTTTCAGTAGTTTTTCAGTCATTATTATAAATCTTGACCCTATCAAATAATAATTCCGTACTGACTTGTAAAAAAATTCGTCTAAGGAGTATGACAATAACTCATCGATCACATAGCGTTAGGACGGTGAGCCGTACCACAAACTGATTGAATACGACAATATAGACTAATAGTTTTTGGCTTATTGATCTGAAATAATCATATTTTGTGAGCGACACAATTATCGTTGGTTAGATCTCGTTTAAAGATCATAGGTATCTAGTATTGACGAGTTTAAAACCAAAAGTTTTAATTCATTTGGTATTGTTTAATTGAATCTTCGAGTTGATGGTTAGGACTGCAATTCATCAATTTCTTATTGACATATGTGTATTCTGTGTGTATTGCCTCGATATTGCCATATTTCTAAAGCATTATAAGAAAAGATGGATAGTGGCTAGCAGAGCAATCTAGTTTTTCAAAAATTAAAAATACAATTCAGTCGAGCTAATCGGAACAAAACATTCAGAGTTCATGGAAAATTGTCATCTGCTAGTAAAATCCATTCATATTATTATTAATACTATTAATACCATTATTATTATTATTATTACTATTATTATTATTAAGCAGTGACAAGTTGAGTTCATCAGGGTCTTCTGTGAGATAGTAACTCATTGAAGATAATGGTGGACGGTGGCACGATTTCGTGTATTGGTTGAAGTTAGATATTAATACCATTGGATGCCAGCTCAGTGGTCCTGTGGTTAAGCGCTCTCACGCAAGACTGATAGGTCCTGAATTGGAATTTCGCTAGGCGGGATGGTGGATGCGCACCACTGAGGATTCTCATACTGGGACGAAACGGTCGTTCAGTGCTTTCAGGTTTTCCATGGTGGTCTAGCTTCGATCGACTCATGATCTCAAAGATTAAAATTACCATAATATCCACAAAGAACCCTTCTGATATTATTATTATACTAACCATAATTTCAATTAATTTATTATAAACCTGACATAGAAACATTTCCTTTTGTTCTTTCAAATAAAGGGTGTGCGTTTGTAAAATTCTCTACACAACAGGAAGCACAATCCGCTATTCTTACTCTACATGGAAGTCAAACAATGCCGGTAAGTTTTCAATATACTCGTGTGTGTGTGTGTGTGTTTATGGAAAAGTATTTTGTCCTCCAAAAGTATCATGACTAATAGATTTTGATTAATAATTAAATGGTAACAATTATAGTTAACAAGTTACAAAATTGATCAATAAAATTGTGATCCCTAACCCCAACCGATAAGATACGATGGTTTAATATGCTTTCTTACGTGAAATGTTCATAATCATTTGACAGAAAATTAATGATCATTGATTCAATGATTTAGAGACTAATTTCCAAGACAATCTTGATTACATAGCACTCAAAATCTACAAAACTGTTTAAATTTAGAATATCCAACATCACATAGGTTGTCCAAAAAATCGTTCCCAAAAATCTTCTAGATCGATTTCAGTATTCAACGATTTTTTGGGTCATATCTCCAAGTAAGGTAAATGTTATTTTTTTATCGACACCGAAAATAATAAAACTTTGAACACTATTTGTGCATCCTTCTCATCTCCCAAATATCACTTTGCCAGGAATTCAATGAGAACTCGATACACCTTGATGTTTTGTAGTACTTTTTATAATCCATATTCATTGATCACATGTATAAACAAGTAAGCCACATGACTACAAAATGAATAGCAAAACATTGAGTTTAGCAGGTTTATAACTACGAAAATGAGTAATCTAATTTTATTCAGTTGACCATAATTTTAGATTATCGAAAGAAATGAATCACTAAAGTTTATCAGTAGATCTACATAAAATTATTCGGAAAAAAATATTACTGTTTGCATCACAAACTGACTTTAGTTGGTCTACAATCGAATACCCGGATACACTGTACATCTAGTTCATCCTGGTGGTATGCAATGTCTTAACAGTTGGCAACCACGTGCCTACCACCCACATGGATTGAACCCAGGACCTTTAAATTTCATAAATAAGGCTTGATATTTAAGTCACTGAGTCAATGCAAAATTGTTTGGATTTCCAATTTTAATCAATCCATGATGTTGCGAAACTATTATCCTACGCCATTGGTGAGTTGCTAGTTCAGTCAAGTATAACTATCCAGGTTTCATATTTTGGACCCTTTCGCCTCTTTCTTGCTATATATATATCGAAGTTCAATTTACTTGAATAGAAATGTAAAGTTTAATCTTTTTTATATTACCACGTCCGAATATTCATCCTCTCTGGAATCGGCATCATTTGTTAATTAAAACCTCATCATCACTAACGATATAAAACCACATTACGAATAATGTCAGGGAGCTTCATCAAGTATCGTTGTGAAATTTGCCGATAGTGAAAAAGAACGTCATACAAGAAAAATTCAACAATTAATTGGTCCAATGGGTTTATTGAGTCCAACCATAGCACTGTCTCAACTAAATGGTAATATGTATTCACAAATGATAGAGGTAAGTGCATATGTAGTCATGATTTATATACAAAAAGATTCTCATATTTAGTTCTGTGAAAATGATTTATTGATAACGTTGTGACTTTAAGCCTGGCTAGTTATCACGTAATTTATTCGCCAATCGAAATACGACTTATACAATCTTAGTTCTGTGCCAAAACAATAACGTTCTATCGGTATAAGAAACCTGGAGTACTTATTGGTCTTTTGCTCGCCTAGCCCGTCCAGTTAAGTCCAGAACGCGATTGTCAGCTTTCACTATACGAATCATTTATTTCAAATATACTTGGTTTATATACCAGAAAGACAGAACGCATCGCACCATAAACTAAGAAATAACATTTATACAAGATCAAGCGCAAAAGTGGCTGTGAACGTGGGAGATTGTAATCAACAAACTTAACTTAAGAACTATAATAATCTATAGGTCAAAATGAAGCTTATAATAACAGGAATATAGATATGCATAATCTAGCTACTAAACAGTTATACAATATATATATATATATATATATATATATATATATATATATATATAATATTAGTCCATTAGTAATTCTCAGAAGTTACCCGTAGTTTGATCTTCACTAAGATATAACAGATAATACCGATTATTTGACATTTAATATCTGTGCTATTTAATATATCGGCGAGAATGTAATTTATGGGCGAACGAATCACGTACAAAATAACAGGTCTCGGATTGTGGAGCGACATTCATTTATTTATTTGGGTAAATAGAGTTTTGGCATTATAGTTTATGTCAGTTCGTGATGAAAAACCTAAATATAATTCCTACCATTAACGATCAAATGTAAATCATAATCCTTATTATTCAAACTGTTTTATAATCCACATTTGGTTCTAGTTATTGGGTTGGCATTCTCAGGGCCTAGCGTTTAAGCATTTGCGCGCAAGATTGATAGGTGCTGGGTTGGAATTTCGCTAGGCGGGATGGTGGATACGCACCACTGAGGAGTCCCATACTGGGACGAAACGGCCGTCCAGTGCTTTCAGGTCTTTCATGATAGTCTAGCTTCAGTTGACTTATGATCTCAACCATTAAAATGACCATAATATGTGCAAAAACCCCTTCTGGCAAATTATAAAGTTAAATATTTGAAGTGATTGCTTATAAATTCGGAAATGTTTATTTAATCAAATAAAGTCATTTCCTTAATGATGATTGTGTGAAACAACGGTAATTAAACAATATTAGATTTTGAGTTTAAAAAGTTTACATTTTATCAGAATAGTTCAATAATGGAATCGTAGCGAACGAGAACACAAGTGGGAACAATCGAATGTATTTGAATACAAAATTACAGAACATTTTAGTAAAATCTGAGAACCATATTATAAATACTTCATTTGCAGAATGTCAGCCAATCGTCTAAGACTTTATTGTTCTTTCGTTTCCACATCAATCATTCTCTGTTCTCTTTCTCTTTTCTTCGATCTTCTTAACCTTATACCGCCAGGTATTTCACTTTGAACTGATGATACATACTACTTATATCTGTCGACTCAGTAGCACACCACAAAACAGCCAATAAAACATTGTTTTAATTTACAACAGTTTCTACAGATTTTAATACTTTCTATATTAACAAATTTAGAATTGATTACTAATTTTTATAAAAACGTCTTGATTTATTTAGAATATGGCACAAACAACAGGTTATATAAATCCAGTTGCTGCATTGGCATTACAACTTCAGCATGCCAGTCAGTTAGCTACAGTCAACTTACCGACTAATGTAACAAATTTAGCAATGATTTCTGCTTTAACCAACGGTTCCAGTGGACATTTAGGCTGTGCTCCACTACTGCATAGTCCACGTTCAGGTACTGTTAATCTATCGCCTAACTGTCATACAAATCCAATGGCTGCGGCAGCAGCTGCCGCCGCTGTGCTTGGTATGTCCGGCAATAATCCTCAGCTAACACAAATATCACCTCAAATGGCAGCTTTATCCAATGTAAGCAGTACATGTATTTCTGGAGAGACAGGAAATAATAACCCCACTAATAATGGAAACTCTACAGCAGCAGCGGCCGCCGCTGCACTCAGTACAAATGCAGCAATGGCTGCAGCCGCCGCAGCTGTAGTTGCTATGGCAAATGGGAATGTGACAGGGAATGTGAATTCAAATGGAACAACATGTGGTTTGACAGGACAAACAATAGGCTTAGGATCTCCCGGAACTGGTGGTCATACATTGGCTCTACATGGAGTTCCTGGGACACATACACCATCGGCAACTCTCAGTGGTCTTGGCGCTGTTTCTCTTCCTTTGAATCAAGCAAGTAAGTCTGTCACTGTCCAGCATCACACCGTTATTATTATATTAAGTGTCAGACATCTCACATAGTACATTTCGAGTTCCACACGAGGATTCGTGGATCTTCACGTCTGAGGAGTCCCTCGATAGGATGAACCGTCTGTCCAGTTTTTGAGGTTCATGAGAATGGTCTAGCATAGATCGACTAGTGATTCCGACCGTGAGAAAGTATTAATTATTCTTAGTCCATGCTTGATCAATTAAACAGTTAGGAACACATTGTATGGATGATTCAGATGTAAACGATTCAAGAGATAAGTTAAGACTTACATTTTGTATGCTTTTATATAAATGTCGTGGTTAAGTAGCTCACTCAGGGTCATTTAGATACTAATTAACAGATAAATTTAAAAAATCCCTCTGTCCTTACGATTATGATCAATTTTTCCTACTGTTGCGAACTATTATCGACGATAGAGTTGTTACAAAAGCCGATTTGGTTTCTCATTGGAATTTATGTTTGACCAGGCTTAACTAATCTTCACATCTCATCCAACTATGGTGGATTTACGAGTGACTAGCAGTGAAATGGATTTTCAATATTTTCGACTTGTTAGTTTCAAAATATTATGAATTTAAGGTAAAATACCTACCAATTAAATTGAATGGAGTCGGAAACTCAGATCACTGGTTCCTGACTTTGAGGTCTAAATTGTATTCATTATGTGCGGTATGAAGCGTAGAAGATATGGAATTTATTCTAAAGTAGATCGTTGACATTTACTAGTGAATAGTTTTAGAATAGGAAGCAACAGCTATCAAGTTATTTTTCAAACAATCTCAGTTCAACAGCTAGTGTATTAATTGCATTTGAGCTGGAATATTCATTTAAAAATTATAAGATCATAGGTTCGAACTTCACTCTACATACTAAGTATACGTAACACATGGGTAGTAGTAGTAGTAATTGTTTTGATGGAATTTTGTTCTCTGAGCTGGACGTTTTGATCATGGAACTTTCATCGTTCTTCTGAACGACATCATCAGAACAAACTTCAGATAGAAGAAGAAATAATTCCAGCTCAGAGAACTAAACTCCATTAAATTCATCCACCTGAGCTACAAATCTCCACCATCTGAAGTAGTAATTCTTGTTGTGCTAATGGGGATTAAAACCTAATATGACCTTGGGAAATGAGTTATAGAATCATCTAAATAAAATAAGTCTTTATAAAAATTTCTGTTTTATTAATAATTTCTATTTATTAATTTATTTTTGTAGTTTCAAATACTTCTTTTGGCTTAAATACATTAACATCTCCATTAACTGGACTTCCTACTGATGCACTTTCCCATTTGTATCCCAGTGTTCCAACTTATGGATTATGTAAGTGTCGTTTTCATGGAATAATACCGCTGAAAATTGTTTAAAACATAGCCATTTCCCTATAGGTGAAGTTCATATTACCTCCTCCTTTAGCATTATTGAAATAATTGTTTTTAAGCTATACTACATTGTATAATGGTGAATGTATCTCTGTTCGAATCAAATAATTAAAAGCTGAATGGTTTCACAATCAAGTCTATTCAGAGGCATAAACAGTGACTCATGGATAATGGATATTACAAGCCAAGTTCTCTTAGCTATCGATTTTCAACAAAAATTAGCAACATTTAGATTTCTACAGAGTGATATTTATAGTTCAGTTAAATTATGTTGTTTTTAGTGCAAGGTTATGAAGCATTAAAGTTTGCATATATATTTCCTAACGAATCGAATTTCAAACAATCAAACTTTACATGGTTGATTACTAAAGGCAAAAGCTTTGTTAACCTTATCATGTACAATTATTTTACTCAAACTGAGTTATGTGTAAAAGTTCGCCAATCTAAAAGAGGAGATTTACATCTCAAGATGATAGTGTACCTGCATGTTTGTGTTTGATTACTTTAATCATTTTATACATATGGTGCCCTTTATCATTTTGAATAGAGCAAGAACAAAGATTCTAATAGAATAGCATGAATTCATTTTTATTTCGTTAGGCTCTCGTCAGTTGCTTACATTCTGTGATATTTAGAAAATCATAATTACAGAATGGGTTTAAATTACTTACATGAGACGGTTTGGTTGGAAGTTATATTGAAGACACATTTTTATAGCATAGTAAGGGTGGAAATAAATTGAATAGACTGAATGTTGTAAATATATATACCTTATGTGAAAGAATATTCTACAATATTGATTGTGACAACAGTACAAACGGCCAGAAACAAGTGATTATATAATGAGTAAACATTGATAGGAATATAGTGAATAGAGACCAGTTAATTAAAATAAGATTATTAATTTGGAAGATAGTTGAAATAAAACGCAATGATGTAATCAATGCAAGAAAGAGTTTAAAGAAAAAGAAAAAAAACATTTTAGGATGTAGCGAAGGAATATTTGTCATCAAAGCAAGGGAAGATTAATAACCATTTCCTTTTGAACACATTAGTTTGATTTTTGACGCCTGATAGCAACGGCTTCAGCAAACTTCAAAACAATGAAGTTTGGCAGCTTACTAATCACCATGAAAGATTGAAAGGTATCTACCTGATGTCCTATATCCAATAGATGTTTGGTGATTGCACTGTTTAGTGTATTTCTTTCTCTTGTTCTGAGGTTTTTTGGAACATATTCGAAAAATCTAAGATATGCCCTCCTTTCTGTTCGGCTAATGTAGCTGCTTTGGCAGATACTCTTAAATTTATAAATACAGTTGTCAGTAACATGAAAGGGGTGCATGTCAACCTATGAGTTATTACCGTTTTATAAGGTCTACTACTACAACTAACCTTGGAAATCAAACCAACTAGTACATAATATTTAAATCTGTATTAACTTAATAACCTTTATCAAATGACTAATCTCCTTAAATTGTTATACTGAAGTTTAAAGTTGTTCATTTGATAGTAAATTGTATTATGATTTACAATCTGATTCATTTATAAGCGCTTAATCAGCCCAGAATATCAATTAGTGAATACGAAGAAGCATGTTCTCAAATGTAAAATAATTATCCTTACAAACCTTACATATATATGTGGGTAGTTATTAGCACATTCTAACAATCACATCTGTTCGAATGTTCAGTCGTTGTTTTGCTTTAAACTGATACAGATAGGCTAATTTATGTATAGATTATTTATTTATTAACACATTTATTCAATGATAAAAATTAATTTGATTAGCTTATCCTTCACCGGTCACATCTGCTTTAAATCCATTCGCTACAATGGCACATCAAGCACTTACAATGCCTATACAACAGAAAGAAGGTACTAAAGATCTAATATTAACAGGTATGATTTTATTTAAATTGATTACACTTATATATATGTATGATCATTTTTTGACTCATTCAATGATCTGTTTTATTGTCTGCCATAATATTTGCATTGAATGTTATTAACTAAAATAATAGTAATTTCAGTAGTTGAGATCATGAGTCAATTGAAGATAGACCACCATGGAAAACCTGGAAGCACTAGTGGAAGGTAGAAATTAACATTATTGGATGCCCACCTCCTTAATGCTCTAGAGGTTAAGTGTTCACGTGAGATACCGACAGATCTTGGGTTCGAATCTTGAGAGGTGGGATCGTTGATGAACACAGCTGAGGAGTCCCACAATAGGACGAAACTGTCGTCCGGTACTCCCAGGTTTTGCATGGTGGTCTAGCTTCAACTGACTCATGATCTCAACTACTAAAGTTACCATAATATCCACAAAAACCCCTTTTGATACTAAAATATTAGTGTCTAACTTTACCAATCTTCTTCCCGCCCATTTTAACTTCTTTTAAACTATTGCTATATACATTTTATATAGGGTTTAATAAGTTTACAAACTGTACAAATACACAGCTCTATTTTCTTAAGAAGATTTAATCTCCATCCACTGACCAAGTTTTATTAGCATACACTAATAAGTTGAAAAGTTGTAGTTTCATTAAAAGGTACATTTAATTTATTCTTGGCTTAGATAATCTTATAAAGATTTTGCATAAATAGATTATTACAAACTGATACTAATAATTGGCAAACTAAATGGTAAGAGGTAATGGATAATTGTCTCCCTCTAATAATAAACAGATAAGCAGGAAATACCTATATGTCCCCATAAAAGATCAAATCAACGATCTTTCAGATTTCTTTACCAACATAATATCATTCAAATACTGTCCATTACTCCCTGTTTTTCAGTGATTTTTTAGATATCTATTTGTGATAAAAATTCTGATCATGTTTTTGATAAAGGAGATTTGTGAATATTTGTTTTGTTTGTGAGTGACATTTGTAACAGACTACTCTACATTAGGGTGCTTCAGGATATCGAATAATATCAGTTAGATGATGCAACTTAATACAGGACTCTTTTGAAGTGAGCAATCATTGCTTCATCAGAGTTCAGACCCAGGAAATCTAGGTCTGTTGACGAGAGCTAAGACACTAAAACTCTAGATAGACACCCAATAGTACACATTCCCGACTTCACTATCTATGTATATGTAACCTTGAATATGTAGGACACGAGCTTGTGTCATACTTATGTATTCTGTACTATGTTATTCTTACCAGAAATACACAATTTACCAGTTATAGAATCAAAAATTCAAAGTTTTATAAGACTACCAGTATAAGTCAGCTATATTTCAAATGGATCACAAATCTATTACCTTAAGCTAACCAAATAGACTGAATAAAATAATTAACTGGAAGTAATTAATATTACAAATTGTTTATATCATTGTAACAAAGTAATTAGCTATTGAATCACATTAAAATGATCCTAAATAGAATGCTTTTATTAACAAATTACATCAAAAGTACTACTATACATTATAATTGAGTAAGTGAGACTATAATTGATGAATGACCTTTGAGCGACGCAAAAATGACCTTGAGAGTGTCCACTTAATGACCAGGACCAAATGAAGGTTATAAACCTGTGTGAGAAATTAGAATTATGATTTATAGTTGATGATTAAGATAAAGAATTCGATTTAGGGTTTTCATCATGAACTGACATCAGCTATAATACCAAGACTCTATCTAGCCAAATGCGTGGATGAATTTCGTGCCAAAATCTAAGACCTGTTATTTTATACATGATTTGTTCGTCCATAAATTATAGTCTCGCCGTAAGTACTTCTATATAGTTAGCACAACTGGGTATAATGTAAACTGTTTAAAATAAAGAGATAATTGATGTAAGATACGACTTAACAGATTATTATGAAATGAAAACCAAACGATTTATGGTGAATTAATATAGAATATGATTTTAGAAGAAATGAGAGAATACGAGATATAAAATAGTTTTGAAACTTAAGATCCAAAGGTAAACGTGGAGTTAGCGGATCTATATTCTCTGTGATCGATTTCAGACTACATCAGTAGATAACACCCCAATCACTGATCATGAGTTTTGCATATGATCCAACCAGACAGTGTTTACTTACCAACATGACACAGATTAGTCTTCATTGACTTCATGAACTAATTGCATGTTTTGTCTTCGACTCCACGAAGTTTCTTTTAACCTACTACTACATCACCCAGCACTGAGCACTAAGATATGATGTAGTTCAGCATATTTAATTTATGTCCTAACCATATTTTTTGATGAAGATTCACAACCGTATCCACCAAATTGCCATCTTTGCTTATTATACCTTAGTATTGGCCACTTCCTTGTTCCACGATGTGGTACCAATGCTTTGATAATATCTGTCATCGAAAAGTAGTAGCCTATTGATTCCCATTACATCCATAAGGTAAAAGAGAACAAACTTTTGCAAATTGTACTGTGGCTTTCACTAGCATACTGATAACTTGCTTACATTACAAGAGAAGCAATCTGGAAAAAAATCATGTTGGCATTCTGAACCTCTTCCATGATTTCGTCAGACACCAACCTACCAGGCTTAATAAAACTTTCAAGATTAGGCAATATGCAATTTTCTAAAAGTCAAATATTCAATTCATATTTCATTCGCATAAATTTAATTGAGTTTTACACATGTTAATAGAATCAAGACAACAATCAACTGTTATTCAACTTAAATATTGATGCTTCATATTTCATGAATTAAAACTTGAAAGTATGATAGTAAATATTACCAAACACAAATTTATTCAGTACTGAAATCAATGATCCAGTACAATCTACAGTTTAAACAATTGAGATAATTTCTTTTTGAATATATTTGCACTGAATGAATTGGCAACTGAAATTCCCCTTCATCCTTGATATTATCTTAATTCTATACAAAACATTACCTCATAAGAATTCATTCTTAGTCGTTATAGTTGTAAAAATATAACAAATTAAAGTGTAAACTCTTTAAAACAACAATTGAGTTTGTCAGTGATAATCATTATAACTAAAATTGTCATAAATTCATTGTGTCTAATATCATAGTAACAATATCAGAAATTAACATAACAACAATAGTGTCTTATTCCTCTTATTAAACAGACAACATTATCTACTAAGATATTGTAAACTATTATTCTGTTTGTTTTATAAATTACAATCTTTATGCCAAATTCAGTTTTACTATAGTGGAGAAGATTTGTAGCTCAGGTGGATGATTTTGGTGGAGTTCTACTATTCTACAACTTTTACAATCAAATTAGATACTACAATCAGTATAATTTTATTAAAGTGTTTTATAATAGTTATTACTAAAACTTATAACAGTTAAATACTATTTCAAGCATAAGAGGCTAACCATTTAGATGATTGTCTTCTCAAAAAAAGAAATCTATCAGACCATTATATCTCAGTTATAATGATTAATAAATGAAGATATTTAATCGATAAAGAGCCTTCTTTTTAGCTTGTTACCAGTTTTTTTGGGGCAAGACTATAATTTATAGACGAGCTTTGAACAAATCTTAAGTGACCTTGAGTAAGATTAGCCAATCACAAAACACTTCGTATAAAGTGAAAATATATTATACAAAACTAATGAATTAAAGTGGATACATTTCTTTTAAATGGTTCAAAAATTTGTCAAATCTAGAAAGAGGTTCAAAAGTTCTTAAATCGCAATGCATACGATAGAGGGAATCATCCATATGACTTCATAATAGTCGGCATCTGGAGCCATGATAAGGTCGCAAAAATACTTTCAGCCTCAACCACATAGCTTCAATAGTGTTTGTGTGCACTCCGGTTGTTAGGCTCAAAAAATATCACTTGTGGATAACGACACGATGCAAATAACCAAGTCCATGTAAGTATCTGTACACTCTCCAATCATCCGTATATATTTTAGTACCTGGTAGTAACCAGTGTTACTGGTGCTTTTATTATCCAGTTCGCAACAATTGTCAGAATTTGCCCTATTCTCAATTTGGATCGACCAACAGAGTCATATCCTAGCACACACATTACATCGTAAGACAACATCATCACATGGTCCACATGTTATGTGCTTACCAAAATCACAAATAAAGGAACTTCTTAATAGTCCAATTTGTTGTAGCCGCTCAATTATCACATTTTCTCTAAAAT